TGATCCTGATTACCAAGAGGAAATTGGATTGATATTACATAATGGAGGTAAAGAAGAATATGTCTGGAATGCAAGGGTCTGGGCCACCCCACCTGGCAACGAACCACGACCAGCTGAAGTGCTTGCTGAGAGCAAAGGGAATATGGAATGGGTGTTGGAAGAAGGTAGTTCTAAATACCAGTTACAACCACGTGACCAGCTACAGAAACGAGGGCTGTAATTGTTTATTTCTGCCTTATATGTGTGCATCAAATAATTTTGTTTTCTTCATTTATAAAATATAACACGTAAACAGGGCTAGCGTGTTTTCGGTTTTACATGTGTTAGTTGTATTATGTTAGGTGCAAGTATGACTTTATAATTGTCTTTATTCAGAGATTATGTATGGTGTAAGGAGATGAGTACAGGTGCCAAGTTGACAAGGGTTGGACTGTGATCGTTAAGGTTGTGTGTCAACTTGGCTGGGCCATGATTCTCAGTGGTTTGGCAGTGACGATGTCATTTGGCAGTTCTATAATGATGTGATCACCTCCATGACGAGATTTGATATAATGTGATCACCTCCATGATGTGATCTGCTGTGAGTAGCCAGTCAGTGGAAAGGGAGTTCCCTTGGGGTGTGGCCTGTATCCAACATAAGCGAAATTTCTGGTAAAGCTCATGGGCTTTTCTCACACTGGGCTCTGCAGCTGGCTTCTGTTCGTCCGACCTCTGGTTCTTGGGACTTCAGCTAGCAGCTTACCCGCCATCCTGCCTGCCGACCTTGGGATGCGTTGGTCTTCGCAGCCCGTGAGCCAGGCTTGCTGCCTGACTTGCCGATCTTGAGTTCGCCACCCCCTGTGGCTACGGAATCTAGAAGCCTCCAGCCTAACTCACATTCCAGCTTCTACAGTCACATGAGCCACTTCCTTAGTATAAATCTCTCTCTACATATATTTATATGCTTTACTGGTTTTGCTTCTCTAGAGAACCCAGCCTAAGACAAAGCCCTTTGATGAGTACTGTCATGTTATGGAACAGACAATACATTGCACAAAATGCCAGATCACTTACCTAAAAAAAAAAGAAAAAAAAAATTGGTTCTTGTTCATATGCTACCTCCTGAAATGTCTAACTGTTGACCAATTCTTTTTGGTACAGTGACTCTATATATTCCTTCCATCTTCTTTTGATGCTTCCTGAGTCATTCAATATTTTGCCCAGAGAATCCTTCAATATTGCAACTAGAGGCTTGAATTTTTCCTTCAGTTCTTTCAGCTTGAGAAATGTTGAGCATGTTCTTCCCTCTTGGTTTTCTAACTCCAGCTCTCTGCACACTTTATTATAATACTTTACTTTGTCTTCTCGAGCTGCCCTTTGAAATCTTCAGTTCTTTTACTTCATCATTTCTTCCACTCACTTTAGCTACTCTATGTTCAAGCGCAAGTTTGAGTCTCTTCTGACATCCATTTTGGTCTTTTCTTTTGTTGCTGTTTTTTTAATGACTTTTTGCTTTCTTCATGTATGACGTGCTTGACATCATTCTACAACTCATTAGCGTTCGATGTGTCAAATCTATTCTTGAGATGGTCTCTAAATTCAGGTGGGATATACTCAAGGTCGTACTTAGGTTGTCATGGACTTGTTTCATTTTCTTCAGTTTCAACTTCAACTTTCCTATGAGCAACTGATGGTCTGTTTCGCAGGTGGTCCCTGGCCTTGTTCTGATGGATAATATTGAGCTTCTCCAGCGTCTCTTTTCCACAGGTGTAGCTGATTTAATTCTTGTGTTATTTCATTCAGCGAGGTCCATGTATATAGTTGTCGTCTATGTTGTTGAAAAAAGGTCATTTCCAATGAAGAAGTCATTGGTTTTGCAAAATTCTATCATGTGATCTCTGGCATTGTTTCTATCACCCAGGCCATATTTTCCAACTTCTGATCCTTCTTTGTTTCCAACTTCTACATTCCAATCACTAGTAATTATCAATGCATCTCGATTGCATGTTTGATCCATTTCAGACTGCAGAAGTTGGTAAAAAGTCTTCAATTTCTTCATCTTTGGCATTAGTGGTTGGTACGTAAATGTGAACAGTTGTATTAACTGGCATATGGGTATTATTTTAACACTGATAGCACTGTACTTCAGGACAGATCTTGAATTTTTTTTTATGATGAATGCAAAACCGTTCAATTGGTCATTCCCAGCATAGTAGACCGTATGATTGTACAATTCAAAATGGCCAATACCAGTGCATTTTAGGTCACTAATGCCTAGGATATCGATCTTCAAGTGTTCCATTTCATTTTTGACAACTTCCAATTTGATTCATGCTTTGTGCATTCTCCAGTTATTAATGGACATTTGCAGCTGTTTCTTCCCATTTTGAGTTGTGTCACATCAGCAAAGGAAGGTCCCAACAGCTTTACTCCATCTACATCATTAAGATCGACTCTACTTTTAGGAGGCAGCTCTTCCGCAGTCATATTTTGAGTGCCTTCCAACCTGAGGGGCTCATCTTCCAACACTATACTATACAATGTTCCGCTGCTATTCATAAGGTTTTCAGTCGTCAATTTTTTGAGAAGTAGATCGCCAGGTCCTTCTTCCCAGTTTGTCTTAGTCTGAAAGCTCCACTGAAACCTGTCCACCATGGGTGACCCTGCTGGCATTTGAAATACCAGTGGCATAGCTTCTAGCATCACAGCAACATGCCAGCCCCCACAGTACAACAAACTGACAGACAAGTGGTTGCCTGTAAAGATTACAGCCTATGAAACCCTGTGGGGCCGTTCTACTCTGTTCTATAGGGTTGCTACGGATCAGAATTGACTCAGTGGCACACAACAACAACAGCAATAAGAAATGCAAATTAAAATAGTAATTAGATGCCATGTTATCATCTATGCCAAACAATCACCCCCCACACTGTATGTTTCTTTTCACTCCATCTGGAGCTCCTTACGAAAGACTCAGAGCAGACACGTGGAAGACAGGCTATTTCTTCATGAGGTGTCAGTCTGCCAGAGAGCAGGAATTCAACTGTGATAAACGGGTGGACAGGAGAAATCCAAAGAGAACAGAGCAGGAGGCAGAGGTGGGAGAGGAGACATAACCACATAAGCTCTCTACTCCACATCTGGCTTTTCTTGGCTGGGAACGAGCTAACATTTTTGGTCTTCTGCACAAAACTAATCTGCTTCTTAAATAATGTGAGCCTAGCTTATAATCAGATATTCGACTAAAGCCATATGATTTATTTAAAGGGTTCACAAGTTAAATACCATTCAACAGACCAGTTATTTATCCAAAGAAAAGTTTTTGTGTGTAATACAGTACACCCATACCTGTTAAATTACTGGAAACTTGTCGACACTGAACTAAAAATTCAAACCAGGGGTGAGCTTCATGTAATTCTTTTTTTTCCAAAAAGGGACAATTTGAAGGACTAAGTCTGTATATAAAACAAAAAATAAACTGATTAACATACAGAATACGACAGACAGTTATAACCACATTTGCTCAGGTGATAACTAGCATAAGAAAATGGAGCCTTGGAATTAAAAAGTACATATAATACAAAATACTCCCACTCTTGTGTTGTGTTTTACATATTCCTTGTGATATGGAAATAGAGAAAATTTTACAGAGATATTACTTAAAATGTATTTACTACCAAGATGCCTAACCTTCTAAAACCATGATGAAATTTTACCAACTCTGTATAAGATTAATGAATATCTTGCATTTTAAGATACTTTGTATTTTACAGCAAGGACTTTATAGCACTTTCAAACTTAAAAGAGGTTTTAAAAAACTTCTATACAACTATAGAGGCTAGGACTGAGCAGTTATGGCTCAGAATAGGTCCTCTGAAAATATGGTTTTTAAATCTGTTCTCTTACCAGTAGCTTTGGGGAAAGCATTCTGTGTCTAAGTAAGCCTCAATGATGTGAGCCAGAAATATAGCCTTTGTTCCAACTCCTCGTCTTCACTATACAAAATAAAATGTTCTCTATCAGTGAGTGAATGTGGGCTGTAGAATCAAACAGAAGAATTAAATCTGGCCCTGACACTTATCAGCTGTGTGCCTTAAGCAAGAGACAGTTGATCCTCATTATTCACAGATTCTGTATTTGTGAATTTGCCTACTCACTAACATTTATTTGTAATCCCAAAATCAATACTTGTTGTGATCATAGTCATTAGTGGATACGCAGAGCGGTGAAAAGCTGAGTCACCCAAGGCATGTGTTCCCAGCTGAGGTTGAACAAGATGAAGCTCTGCCTTCTTGTTTCAGCCCTCAGACTGTAAACAAGTGTTCTTTTTGCAGTGTATCTTGTGCCAGATTTTTTGCATTTTTGTGCTTTTTGTTGGTGATTTCATTGTTTAAAATGGCCCCTAAGCATAGTGCTAAAGCACTGTCTGGTGTTCCTAACTATAAGAAGGCTGTGAGGTGCCTTACAGAGAAAATGTGTGTATTAGATAAGTTTCCTTCAAGCATGAGTTAGAGTGTTGCTGGCTGTGCATTCAAGTTAATGAATCAACAATATACATTAAATAAGGTGTCTTTAAATAGAAACACACATAAAACATAGTCACGTACTGATCAGTTGATTAAAATGTTGTGACCAGAGGATCTCAGGAACTTAACCCAGTATTTATTTTAGGAGCAGTGCTTCCATATTCGCTAATTCACTGTTCACAGCAACCTTATAGAACTTAACTACACAAATAATGAGAATCAGCTACACTTAGTCTCTCTTGAAGCCTCAGTGTGCTCATCTGTGAAATGGAGATGGAGATGTAAAATCCCATAGCATTTCTGTAAAGACTAAATTGAGATAAGGCATGTAAAGCACTTCAGCTCAGTGCCAGGAACACTGTAAGCACTCATACACAGGGGTGGGGTGGGGGTGGAACCCAAGTCGATTGCAACTTATCGCTAACTTTTAGGACAGAGTAGAACTGCCCCATAGGGTTTCCAAGGAGCGAATCGTGGATTCGAACTGCCAGCCTTTTGTTTAGGAGCTGTAGCTTGCCATAGCTCTTAACCACTGTGCCACCAGGGCCCCCATATATTAGAGACTACTGTTATTATTATTATTACTGACCCAATAGCAGTCACCACTGGTCTCAGATAGGATTCTGCAGGTTGATACTAGGTAGATATATATTGATGTTTATATATATAAAATTTATACTATATCTAAAACAATTTGTAAACCAAAACCAAATTCATTGCCATTGAGTCGATTCTGACTCGTAGCGACCCTATAGGACAGAGTAGAACTGCCCCACATAGTTTCCAAGGAGTGGCTGGTGCATTCAAACTGCTGACCTTTTGGTTAGCAGCCGAGCTCTTAACCACTGCACCACCAGGGCTCCAAAACAACTTGTAGGGGCTATGAAATCAAAGTAGTTTACACTCTCCTGATAATGAAAGTGATCAAAGGACTCCAACTGAACCTTTAGAATTCTCTTCTCTTTTAAACTTTCAAAGCACTTCTTTCATTTTATTCTGTTCTCTAGTTATTTAAAAGGTTAACATCGATGTTACAGGATTAACATTAACTGAAAACCATGTCATAAGCATTTAGCTGAACACAGCTTTCAACTAAAAGAGGTACGAAGTGTGAGGGCGGGGAAGACTACTTCAAAAAGATCCGTATTTCTCATATGGATGCTTACTATTTTCCTAAAAGTCCCATTCAAAAGTAGTCTGGAAAGAGGAAATGTGCAAAACTTGTTCAAGGATAACTCAGTTCTCAATACTCACTTGTAAAAGTCGAGGTAGACATAAAGAAGATGCTGCAGATTGTGTTCCAAACAATAGAGAATGAAGTGAGAATGGAAATCCCAACCTTCTTTGGTCCTGTAGTTTTGAACGGGGAGGGTGTTTTGCATCACACCCCCAATACGGCTCAGTCTTAGGAGGAAGAGGTCAAAGTCTCCCAGTTCCGATGCAAGAAAAACTCCATTCCTGTTGGGCAGATATAAGGAACGGTACGTTAAGAAGTTGCTGGTTCAGAGCAGACCAAATCATCTCCATTGTGTACAGCTCAACTACTTAAAAATCAGTGTTTACAAACGAAGGCTTCCAATTCTCACTCTACAGACAGGTTCTTACACATGCATTTTGCTAGTTTCCAACAAAGGTTTCTAAACCCTTGGAGTATTTAAAAGTAGTAATAAGAATCTTAAGCTATCTTCAATATTTCAACACCCTTAACTAAGCTATCTATATTTCTTTGTTTTTGATTGGAACTGTACAACTCAGTAAGGAAACAGTAGTTAGCTCCTGAAGCTAGATACTCTGAGAACTGAAAAATTCACCAAAATATCCAAACAAAATCATTAAGAAACTAAAGCATAATAATTCAAATAGACCAACTATAAAAACGAATAGAACCTCACATTTAAATTAATACTTTTTAATTATTTTCTTTTTACTGTTAAATAAATCACATATACCATACAAAAGGGTATACAAAATATATACGTAGGGTTTAAAGAAACACCATGTAACTGCCATCCACATTAAAAAAAACAGAACATTATACCCTTTGTGTATCTCTCAAGGAGCTCTGGTAGCATGGTGGTTAAAGCATTTGGCTGCTAACCAAAAGGTCAGCGGTTCAAACCCACCTGCTGCTCTGTCAGAGAAACGGGGCAGTCTGCTTCTGTAAAGACTTAAACAAACTTGGAAACCCTGTGGGGTAGTTCTACTCTGTCCTACAGGGTACCTATGAGTTGGAATTGACTCAACGGCAATGGGTTTTTTTTTTGGGGTGTATTCCTCCCCCACTCCATGTCCTTCACTTCCCCTAGAGGTAACTGAGTTTTGTGATAATCATTCCCTTACTTTTATTTAGTTTTATCACCCATGTATATAACCCCAAACAATATACTGTTTGGTTTCGCCTACTTGGACTTCATACATAAATGGAATATTCTGGATATATTGTTCTTTGCCTTGTTTCTTCTGCTCAACACTGTGTAATTATCCATGTTGACACGTGGCTACAGGTCGTTCACTTTCATCATTATTTAGTATTCCACTGTATGATAAACTACATTTTATTTATCCATTCTACTTTTGGTTGTTCCTAGATTTTTAGTGAAATAAATCTGCATTCCATGATTATTAATGAGGAAGAACATCTTTTCATACATTCATTGGCCATTTGTGTCTCTTTGATGAAACGTCTATTTGTGCTAGGTATCTTTCCTCTCCAGATACAAGCTCCACTCCTCACCACCCTGCTGTCCCTGGAGGTTCACCTCTACGAGCTGCACCAGGAGACCCCAGCACCCTCAGGCTCCTTGTGGGGATCAGGGAAAAGGGAGGATAGGGTGTTTATCCCCTGGCTCTCTATGCTGGGTTACCCCAGGCTGGCTGACACCCTCCATTTAGGGTCCTAACTCTCCCCTTGCCCCTTCAGGCCTGTTTAAGAAGGTGTGACCTACTCCCAAGGTCACGAAGATGTTCTCCTATAACATCGTCCAAAAGCTTTACAGTTTTACATTTCATGTTTAGGTTTTCAAATCTACTGTACCTGGAATTGATTTTGCACATGATACAAGGTAGGAGGTCCAATTTCATTTCCTGCCCCCGTATCTATTCAATTACCCACTCCTCTTTTATTGAAAAGACCATTCTTTCCCCTCTTCTGCAGTGCCATCTTTGTCAAATATAAACTGAGCACACATGTATAACCCAAAAAAACCCCACTGCTGTTGAGTCAATTCTGACTCATAGTGACCCTATGAGACAGAGTAGAACTGCCCCATAGGGTTTCCAAGGCAGTAAATCTTTATGGAAGCAGTCTGCAGACTGCCACATCTTTCTCCTGCAGAGAGGCTGGTGGGTTTGAACTGCCGACTTTTTGGTTGGCAGCTGAGTGCTTTAACCACTGCACCACCAGGGCTCCCTCACACATGTATATGTCTGTTAGTATGCTCATTCTTCTGTTCTCCTGGTCTATTTGTCTATCCCCTGCACCAATAACTCCCACTGTCTTAATTATTATAGCTTTAAAATAAGCTTTGATATCCAGTAGGTAACTTCTTCTTTCTCAGGGCTATTCTTGATCCTTTGCATTTCCATATATATCTTTAGAATCAGCCTGTCAAAATCCATAAAAAATCTGCTGGAATTTTTATTGAGATTGTGCTGTATCTAAAGATCAATAGATATCTTTTTCTTTGGGAAGAATTGATAGCAGGCATTCTTGTCTTGTTCTAATTCTCAAAGAGAATGCTTGTGATGTTTCATTATTAAGTATGATGTGATGTTTCATTATTAAGTATGATGTTGGCTGGAAGAATTTTTTTAGACACCCCTTTTCAAGTTAAAGGAGTTCCCATCTATTCTTAGTGGGCTAAGAGTTATCATAAATGGATTTGAATTTATCAAATACATTTTCTGCATCTATCAGGATAGTATAATTTTCTTCCTTTAATCTGTTCATGTAGATTTTATTAATTCATTAATTTCATAACTTATGTTAAACCATATATTAGCTTTTAAACAACCAAATACTAAGCATAATATTTTGTAACGTACTATAAACTTTTAGTAAACAAGAAGACCATTTAGTGCAATAGAGACAACAGTGGATAGAAAGGGGTTATCACCGCCTGCCGTGGCCCCGTGGGGATTGGCCCAAACCCCAGGCCCCTCCCACCAGCTTGGGACACTCCCCCCGCCGACCACCACAGCCCTGCTGCAGCCCCCAGCCCTGTTCACGCTGCAGACAAACGACCCATCTCCACCTCTTCCCCCCGCTGCTGGACCTGCCCTGCTGTACCATAGCTGAATGCTGGCCCTGCACACCCGGACAAGGTGGTGAGAACTATCGTGCCCACAGATGCCCTGCACACCTGGACAAGGTGGTGAGAATTATCGTGCCCACAGATGAGCAAGCAACAGAGCATGCCCGGCCCACCCACCCAGACATAACCAAACAAAAAAGCAGGATGAAACAAACAAACCTAAATTAATAAAGAAAATAATACCTGAATGTCTCTCTTGGAGACAGCAGACAATATCAAAACAAAAAAACAGGACAAGATGGCTCCAGTGAGCGACCATACTAAAGCACCAGCTGACCTTCTGGCAGAAGAAGAAAAGGCAGTATAACTACCTGGTAGGGAATTCAAAAGTCTAATATTTCGGGCTCTCCAAGAAATTAGGACGAAAGAAATTAAGGAAAATGCAGACAAAATCATGGAAAATACAGACAAAACCCAACCAAAACAGCCAAAATCAAGGAAAACACAGACAAAGCAATAGAGGAATTCAGAAAAATAATACAAGAACAAAATATCAAAATAAATAAACAATTAGAAATCATACAAAACAGCAATTAGAAATCCAAAACAAAAACAAAATTTCAGAAATGGACAACACAACAGAAGGTTTTAGGAACAAATTTGCAAACAATGGAAGACGGAATAGTGAAACTGAAGACAAATCCATGGATGCCACTTTGAGGAAAAATCAGATAAGAATGAAGAAAAATGAAGAAAACCTAAGAACTATGTGGGATACAATAAACAGCAAAAATTTGCACGATTGGAGTTCCAAAACGGGGAGAAAATAGAAAACAGAGCAGATCATTGAAGATTTGCCGACAGAAAACATCTTTAGTATCATGAAAGATGAAAAGCTGACCATCCAAGAAGCTCAACGAAACCCATATAAGATAGACTTCAAGAAGAAAGTCACCAAGACATGTAATTACACTCACCAAAGATGAAGAAAGAATCCTGAGAGCAGCTCGAGAAAAACGAAAAATCACATACAAAGGGAACACAATAAGACTAAACTCTGATTACCTGGCAGAAACCATGCAGGCAAGAAGGCAACAGAAGGGTATATATAAAACCTTGAAAGAAAAAAACTGCCAACCAAGAATAACATATCCTGCAAAACTCTCTCTCAAATATGATAGCAAAATTAGCATATTTCCAGATAAACAAAAATTAAAAGAATTTGTAAATACCAGACCAAACTTACAAGAACTATTAGATGGAGTCTTTTGGTTGGAGAACCAACAACATCAGACAACAACCTGTATCTAGAACACAGGTCAGTGTCAGCCAAATACCGACCTAGGTAATGAACTCTCAAGGATAAAACAAAACTAAAAGATTCAAAACAGGGAACTAGAAACATCAGTCTGTAAATGACAACATCAGAACAATAAAAGGGAGACTAGACAGCGTAGGCATAGAACTTTCAAATGGAGAGAAAGTCAAGACAATATCAAGTAATAAAGGACTGGTTCAAACTTAGGAAGATAAGCATAAACTTCAAGGTAACCACAAAGAAAGTTAACAAACGTACTCATCAAAATAAAGAAGAAAAACAAAGTCTCAGTAAACAAAATCTACAATAACAAAAGAAATGAAAAAAAAATCACAAACAAAAGGAACTCAGCACAGGAAAGTTTAAGAAGAACAAAGTATATGTCGGCGTCACCAAAAAAAAAAAACCCAAACTACAAAAGGACAGCAAAAACTCACACCTATTGATAATCACACTGAATATAAATGGCTTAAATGAACCTGTAAAGAAAAAAAGGGTGGCAGATAGATAAAAAAAAAAAACCAGCAATATGCTACCTACAAGAGACACACCCTAAACACAAAGACATGAATATATTAAAAATCGAAGAATGAAAAAATACACGAAGCAAATAGCAATCAAAAAAGAACAAGAGTGGCAATATTACTCTCAGATAAAATAGAAAGGGAAAATTCACCATAAAAGACAAGGAAGGACATTATGTAATGATTAAAGAGACAATCTACCATGAGGACATAACCATAATAAATATCTATGCACCCAATGACAGGGCTCCAAAATACATAAAACAAACTAACAGCATGAAAAAGAGAAACTGACAATTCCACAACAATAGAAGACTTCAACACACCACTCTTGGTAAAGGACAGAACATCTAGAAAGAAATTCAGCAAAGATACAGAAGATCTAAAGGCCACAAATGACCATCTTGATCTCACAGATATATACAGAACACTCCATCCAAAAGCAGCAAAGTATACATTCTCTTCCAATGCACATGGAACATTCCCCAGAATAGACCACATCTTAGGCCACAAAGCAACCCTCAACAAAATCCAAAACACTGAGATAATACAAAGCATCTTCTCTGATCACTACGCCATAAAAACAGACATTAATAACAGGAAGAGCAAGGAAAAAAATAAAAAACATGGAAACTGATTAACATCTTGCTTAAAATCCACCGGGTAATATAAGAAAGGAACGCTTCACAAATTTGCGTGTCATCCTTGCACAGAGGCCATAGCTAATCTTCTCTGTATTGCTCATAATTTTAGTATATGTGCTGCTGAAGCCTATTCCCAAGAAAGGTAATCCAACCAAATGTGGAAATTATCGAGCAATATATTAATATCACATGTAAGCCAAATTTTGCTTAAGAGCACTCAAAAGCAGCTGCAACAGTGTATCGACAGGGAACTGCCAGAAATTCAAGCTGGATTTAGAAGAGGACGTGGAACCAGGAGTATCATTGCTGATGTCAGATGGATCCTGGCTGAAAGCAGAGAATATGATGTTTAACTGTGTTCTATTGACTATGCTAAGGCATTTGACTGTGTGCATCATAACAAATTATGGATAACATTGCAGAGAATGGGAATTCTGGAACACTTAATTGTGCTCATGAGGAACCTGTACATGGATCAAGAAGCAGTCGTTCGAACAGAACAAGGGGATACTGCATGGTTTAAAGTCAGGAAAGGTGTGCGTCACGGATGTATCCTTTCTCCACACCTATTCAATCTGTATGCTGAGCAAACAGTCAGAGAAGCTGGACTATATGAAGAAGAACGGGGCATCAGGATTGGAGGAAGACGCATTAACCACCTGCGATATGCAGATGACACAACCTTGCTTGCTGAAAGTGAAGAGGACTTGAAGCACTTACTGATGAAGATCAAAGACTACAGCCTTCAGTATGCATTACGCCTCAATGTAAAGAAAACAAAAATCCTCACACTGGACCAATAAGCAACATTATGATAGAGAAAAAATTGAGGCTGTCAAGGATTTCATTTTACTTGGATCCACAATCAACACTCATGGAAGTAACAGTAAAAAAATCAAAAGACACATTGCAGTGGGCAAATGGGCTGCAAAAGGCTTCTATAAAGTGTTGAAAAGCAAAGATGTCACCTTGAGGACTAAAGTGCGCCTGATCCAAGCCATGGTGTTTTCAATCGCCTCACATGCATGTGAAAGCTGGACAATGAATAAGGATGAATGAAGAAGAATTGACACTTTGAATTGTGGTGTTGGCAAAGAATATTGAATATATCATGGGCTGCCAGAAGAATGAACAAATCTGTCTTAGAAGAAGTACAACCCGAATGCTCCTTAGAAGCAAGGATGGCGAGACTATGTCTCACCTACTTTGGACATGGTATCAGGAGGGATCAGTCCCTGCAGAAGGACATTACACTTGGCAAAGTAGAGGGTCAGTGAAAAAGAGGAAGACCCTCAACGAAATGAACTGACACAGTGGCTGCAACAATGGGCTCAAGCATAACAGTGATTGTGAGGATGGTGCAGGACCGGGCGATGTTTCATTCTGCTGTGCATGGGGTCACTATGAGTCAACCGACTCAACGGCACCTAACAACAACAATAGAAGAAATCAAAGATGAAATTAAAAAATTACTAGAATCAAATGAGAATGAAAACACATCATACCAAAACCTTTGGGACACAGCAAAGGCAGTGCTCAGAGGTCAATTTATAGCAACAAGCACACACATCAAAAAAGAAGAAAGGGGCAAAAGAAAGTCAGGGGTTAAAGGATTCAAGTCTATAACCAACTGGCCTGAGTAAAGCCTTAACTTTTCTGACTCTCACTCTCCACATCTTGAAGTTGGATAGGACAGTACAGTTATACTTCTCCAGTAAGTATAAATATAAAATATACATGTGAAGTAAGTTTAAGCAACTTAAAAATTAACATACCTGGTATTAACTTTCCTAACACTATTTCGAGAGCTTAAAAATCAGTTGCCATGTTGTTGATTCCAGCTCAAGGTGACCCTATGTGTATCAGAGTAAAATTGTACTCTATAGGGTTTTCAATGGCTGATTTTTTGGGAGTAGATCACCAAGGCCTTTCTTTCCACATGCCTCTGGGTGGACTCGAACCTCCAACCTTTTGGTTAGCAGCCAAGTGCTTTAGTCGTCTACACCACCCAGGGACTCCTTTAGGAAGATATATTAAGCTGACTCCTATAAAATTACTGATATTCAACCATTTTGCCCTAAACAAATGACAACTTCATACAGTTTAACCTAACAGAATTGAATTAAAAGTTTAAAATCTTCACGTATCACTTCAAGAGCTATTTCTCATATTTTTTAATTTAGCAGTCCTCTTTATTTCAGGAAATCCCTGAGTGGTGTAAACAGTTAACATGTCTGGATTCTAACTGAAAGATTGGAAGATCAGGTCCACTCAGAGGCACCTCAGAAGAAAGGCCTGGCCATCTATTTTTGAAAAATCAGCCATTAAAAACCCTATGGAGCACAGTTCTATTCTGACACACATGAGGTCACCATGAGTTGGAAACGACTTGATGGCAACTGGTTACTGGTTTAAATTTCAAAGCCACAAGCATATGAGTACAATGATGATACCGAAAAGAGGGGCGGATGACTACAGGATACTGAGGTATCTTCATCTGAGCTCTTGCCACTGATTTCTTGTAGCCCTCCTTCCTCACAGTTTAACATTTCTACATCAAAGCACATAAAATGTTTCGGGAAGAACCTATATATAGAATTTGAGAGCCTGTTCACAACCATATGATGTTTAATATGTATGATTTTAACATCTCAGTCTACAATCCAAAAACTAAACCAAACCCATTGCCATTTAGTCAATTCCAACTCACAGTGACCCTATAGGACAGAGCAGAAGTGCCCCAGCAGGTTTCCAAGGAGTGGCTGGTGGATTTGAACTGCCAACCTTCTGGTTAGCAACCGAGCTCTTAACCATGGTCACCACCAGGGCTCCCAGTCTACGATACGAAACCAATAACCCAACCTGCTGCCTTCGAGTTGATTCCAATTCATAGCAACCCTATAGGACAGACTAGAACTGCCACGTATGCTATCCAAGAAGCGGCTGGTGGATTCGTACTGCCAACCTTTTGGTTGGCAGCCGAGCTCCTAACCAGTCTACAATAGCGCCCTTTAAATTAAAATAACATGAAACAATGCTCACTGGATTTACGGCATTTCAAAGGAAAAACTACACCATTATTTTTTATTGCTCTTCCTTTTACTCTGCCCGCTGGGGCTTAGTTTCACAATCACAATACCTGGCCAGCTTATCTAAAATTTTATTCCTCATGTAGCTGTTGCAGCAAGTATTCTGATCAATCACATCAACAGTCAGAGGGGGCCATCTGTTCTGCTGAAGTGAAGCGTAACTATCCTGGGTCTGAAACTCTCTGATCCACAAGCTAATGCTTAACCAATCATGACGAGCTGTGAGGTGTCTCCAGAGGGCTTCAGCAGAATAAGATCTGTAGTCTACATGAAGAACAAAAACATTTTAAAATAGCAAAAAATTATGATTATTGACATGTAAGTCAATACCAACTACTGAGTAAATACAACAATCTGGATGTAAATACTTATATAATATATGGATTATTCAGACCCTCTGCTTCTTTGACTATTTCCCTCGTTCATTTTATAGAAATTGGCCAGAGGAAGAGCTAAGTGTTGCTTCTCAATACTACAATGGTCAAAATGAAAACTGGCAATTAGCTGTACATTTTCATTTCTCGTCTTCAGTCTTCTTCCCTTTTTTTCCCTTACTAGAAATAAAACTTTGGATGTATCAGTAAACATGAACTGAACTTTCTGTGACTGTGGGATTTATCACCGTCAGTTACTCCCCAGAGCCCTGATGTGATACAGACCCCCAGTATATACAATGAGAAACCCAAAGACTATTTAGAAAAACAAAGGATGTCACTTTAAAGCTGGGATGAAAAAACTTAGCCTTGAAATTCAATTCACTGCTCAGCCAACTGAGCCATATCTTTTTTCTTTCACTATCACATTATAAATCCTTCACCAAAACCTTGAGATAGGAAAGACATCTTAATGCAGCGACCTATATTTTAAAGCAACGGAACATTTTCCTCCCCAAAAAGGAATTCTAAAATGTAGACACACCAAAATATTCAAATATCAATACTTAATTTAATCCACATTCAATGCACTCAAATTTCAGGTTCTCTCACACTTGCCTTCTGTACTTATCCTGGGAAGAAGGACGGATTCTTGCGTTAGTCGATCCCACCACTGAGCCCAATTCAACACAATTCTATGATCCTGTTTGTTAAATTCGTCTTTATGGTATTTCAGGACTGAGTCCAAAACAGATTTGTGCTTGGAAAAATCTTGTTCCTTTATCCAATACCTAAAACAGTGATATAATTTTTTTTTTTTTTTTAATTTGAGGGGAAAATATCTTTCCTTTTTATCTACTTAAGAACTTCTACTCTTTTGTGGGGCACATGATTCCATACTCTTAATTTTGCATTTAATATCCTAAAACTATATATCTGATTTTGAAAATATTGAAACAACAGGAAATTCTTGAGTCCCTTCTGTATGACAGCATATTTAGATACAAGTTTTCTGTTCATGGGGAATATAAGCTCAGTTCCACACAAGAAACCCATGCTCACAAATGATTACAAACTAAACACTCTCTAGAATATGCTTCCCAGATTATCAAAAAAGGGCTAATGAGACTACCTGGGAAAGGACTGGATCTGTGGATTTTCTTGGAACTGTCCCGAATAAAACTTCTCAACTTGATGCACAAAGTCTATAGTTCTTTTTTCATTTTCAGAAATGTAATTTTTCTCTTTTAAAATTTCAACCTTGAATAAAAAATAAAGCGGTCAACTCACAAAGATCAAGCATATTTGCAAAACAAATCTCGAGATTAAATACCATATAAGAAATATATTCTGCATTAGAGAAATGCAAATTAGAACAACAATGAGATACCATCTCACCCCAACAAGGCTAGCATTAATCCAAAAAACACAAAATAATAAATGCTGGAGAGGTTATGGAGAGACTGGAACACTTATACACTGCTGGTGGGAATGTAAAATGGTACAACCACTTTGGAAATCGATTTGCGCTTCCTTAAAAAGCTAGAAACAGAAGTACCATACAATCCAGCTATCCCACTCCTTGGAATATATCCTAGAGAAATAAGAGCCATCACACGAACAGATATATGCACACCCATGTTCACTGTAGCACTGTTCACAATAGCAAAAAGATGTAAACAACCTAGGTGCCCATCAACGGACAAATGGATAAACAAATTATGGTATATTCACACAATGGAATACTATGCAACGATAAAGAACGATGATCTGTGAAACATAACATGGAGGAATCTGGAAGGCATTATGCTGAGTGAATTTAGTCAGTCACAAAAGGACAAATACTGCATAAGACCACTGTTATAAGAACTCAAGAAAAGGTTTAAACACAGAAGAAAACATTCTTTGATGGTTACGAGGGTGGGGAGGGAGGAAGAGGGGTATTTCACTATCTGGATAGTAGACAAGAATTATCTTTGGTGAAGGGAAGGACAGCACACACTATAGGGGAAGTCAGCAAAACAGGACTAAACCAAAGCTAATTAGTTTCCTGAATACAACCAAACACTTCCAGGGACAGAGTAGCAGGGGCAGGGGTCTGGGGGGCCATAGTTTTCAGGCGACAACTAGGTCAATTGGCATAACAGAGTTTATTAAGAACATATTCTGCATCCCACTTTGGTGAGCGGTGTCTGGGGTCTTAAAAGCTAGCAAGCAGCCATCTAAGATGCAGCAACTGGTCCCAACCCACCTGGAGTAAAGGATAATGAAGAACACCAAAGACACAAGGAAAGTATTAGCCCAAGAGACAGAAAGGGCCAAATTCATCAGCCTGAGACCAGAAGAACTAGATGGTGCCCAGCTACCACCAATGACTGTCCTGACAGGGAACACAACAGACAGTCCCTGTTGGAGCAGGAGAAAAGTGGGGTGCAGAACTCAAATTCACATAAAAAGACCAGACTTCATGGTTTGATCGAGTGAAGGGACCCTGGAAGACATGGCCTCGGACTCTCTGTTAGCCCAAAACTAAAACCATTCCCAAGGCAAAGACAAAGATTAGACTGGACTATGGCGCATAAAATGATACTCGTGAAGTGTGTGCTTCTTAGCTCAAGTAGATACATGCGACTAAATGGGCAGCTCCTGTTCACAGGCTGGATGAGAAGGCAGAGAGGGTCAGTAGCTGGTTGAATGGACGTGGGAAATCCGGGGTGGAAAAGAAGAGTGTGCTGTCACAGTATAGGGAGAGCAACTAGGGTTACCTAACAATGTATGTATAAATTTTTGTATGAGAGACTAACTTGAATTGTAAACTTTTACTTAAAGCACAACAATAACGGTGAAATAGTAATAATCAAATAGACCTTGAACCAGTTTAAAAAAAAAATGTATTTTGAATTTTTGGGCTAATACATACATACACACAAATTTTACTTTGCTGCAAATGTAAAATAATTATTAAAAAATACTTTTATTTATTAAATACTGGTTAAATATTAAAACAATTCAGTCTGAGGTGTCACCAAGCTTTTCCTATAGAAGATAAACTATGCAGTCTCACCTTTACCTACCAGAAAGTCCCGTATATTTTTGTCAGTTGTAAAGAAGCATATCTTGAGCAACTGGTCTTTTACATCAAAACCCTATAAATACACAGAGAAAACCAAAAAATCTTATATTTTGTAAGGAACTTGAACATATATAGATACTTTAACAATTCTTCAATATTTTGTTGGATACAGAAGTACTCTATTATAGATATGCATCCTGTTAGAATCCCACAGCTTTTCTGCTCTTGCAGACACTCATTTTCCTACACTTTTTATCATACGCATTTACTGCCTATCCTAAAGTCCTTAAGCATTTTGCCGAAGGGCAGACACAGCACGCAGAACAATTTAAGGTAAATGCCAAGCTACCACAGGACCAAAACTACAGGAACCTGCTATAATGACTCACTTGGAAACAAAGGTCAATACAACAAGCCCTTACACAGCTCCAGTCCTTTGCATTTACAGGAAGTTATCAAGGGAAAGACTCCAACCATGCAGACTGGGGCCAGATCTCAGCTTAGTTCAAAAGCCTGACCTCTAGGACTGCCTCTTCACAAATGAATTAAAACCATGGCACATGAAGCCTCAGTAAAAGCACCAAACACTGGAAAGATCAGGTGAAGATGTAAGGGGTCACATGAACAATACAGAATGTGCCCTCAACAAACAATGAGGTCCTGTGCATGCTTGGACAAGTGTCTGCTCTGAGAAGCTCCCTCCTCTTACCAAAGTCCAAGTCGAGCTGAGAGCAGATGATGGGCACCTCATTTAAAATTTTCTTCAAGAAAGTTTTTAGTACCGAAGAATGTTTCTCTGTATCATTAACATTCTTATTATTGCCTAGTAAAGGCTACACAAATTAGTCTGTGACACAGCTATGAATACAAATCAATTTTTCTATTAACCAGAAACTGTATTAAATACACAGACAGCTTCTCTTGCATTAGAGACTTCAGCATCAGTTAAATGGATTACGCCACTCACCATATTCTTCAAAAGCTCGGAGGCTTCCTTTATGTTGTTCTTTTTTAAACTGTCAAAGACTAAATCTAGGCCTATTTTAATCAGCTCCTCGAGTCTTTGAGCAGAATGGCTGTTAATCCTGAGGAAGGTTTGTGCCTCTGGTATTTTGTTGTTTAAAATGGCATTGGCAATAACTTCCTAAGAAAAAGAAGAAAAATGTTTGCCTTTATTAAGCTCCTTTTTACTTCCCTATTATGGTTACTACCATGGTACCTATTCATTTGATCATGAACACGGCGCAGAACAGGCAACATTTCATTTTGTTAAATCTACGACTAGATTTCAGACTAGACAAAGGGGATGTGAAGCTGACTAAACCACAGGCCTTCCTCTCCAGCAGCTCGCAGTCTAGGAGACACACAAGGAAAGCACCGATCACAGTACTGGGTGACATGGGCTGTAACAAACCTGTTCCCAGGGTGCTAGGGAGGAGGGTCTAGGGGGAGAGAGAGACCGAGAGGGAAGGACAGGTGTTCCAAAAAGAAGGAATACTATATGCAGAGGCACAAAGGTAAGAAACAGCATCAAGCCTCCGGGGAACTCAAAGTTATTCAACCTAACTGGAGAAGAAGCTAGTGAGGGTAGAAGAAGAAAAGACTGGTTAAGCTATCTTGGCCTCTGTGTTTCCAACGCCAATACTCTCCACACGGATGCAGGAATTCTTCTGGTTCCCCGTCGGAGGGCAGCACATTTTGACTACACTAACCTCCACTATGAAAAAAAGGCAAGCAAATGAGCACAGAAAGTCAGGCTGATTTCACTGGCAAGATGTCTTAACTACCATCAGAGACAGGACTCAAATCAAACATGCTTTCAAGTAATAACGTCATACGATCAGATAGTTCCCTAAAATCTCATCAGCAGCAGCAATTCTATGCACACGTCAGGCAGAATGCATGAGTCCAAAGCGCCAGGCCCCAGTCTGTGAGGGAGTATTACCAAGGGATCCCCATTCCACATGGGGTTGGATTTTTGTCATTGGATTCAAGTGGGCAGATCTGGCATTAACAAGGAATCTATTTGTGTTCTGAATTAAATAAACAGAGCTTGTTGACATAAATTTGAAGTTGTGTCCAGAGATGCCAAAACATATAAAACCCTTGCCAAAGACTTAGAACCACAAGTGTATAGATTCTAAAAAATTCTGTTTCTTCTATTGTTTTCTCAAATCCACTGAATCTGGCAAACAAAAGAAGTGATAATTACTCATATTTACCTCAAAGCTGAGTTTCTCCCATATATCGCTCTCCTTTACTTTGGGGACATTTTCATTTACATCATATTCATCCAAAGCATCCGTTTGCTTCCAAGGAAATTTTATCATGAAGGTTCGAAGCTCATTTATGTAGCTGGTCAAAATGTTCACTCCTTTCTGCAGATGTTCATCTAGCTCTGAGGAAAACACCAATGGGCCATTTTCATATACAGAAAGAAAGAGAGAGAGGTAGAGAAAGAATACCATGAGCTGTTATACTTGTAAAGAATTCTGGAAAATGTCAAAATTTACACTCAGCATTTTCAAACTTCTAACAATAAGTGTTTGACCTTTTTTCTATTTATGAGTTATCTCTGTGTTTTAAGATGACTTGTTTCAATTCATCCTCTTCACTATGACAAGCCCTGGGTCTTTCTTTTCTTTCTTTCCCATGGTCAGAACCCATCTGACTTGCTCCACAGCACACTGGCTTCTGCCTGACTTCAGCAAACGGCGCTCGCCTGGCTGGTACTCTCATACAGTACGACCACCAACAGCTCTGTCCTGACACAGGAATGGTACAATGTCCCCCTTCTTGCTGCTATTCTTACCTTCAGTGTGAACAAAAAGCTCTTTTATTTGTTTGTTAAGGAAAGACAGTGTAAGATTAAGCAGTTGTTCTGAAAAGTGTTTGCTTTGGGTCTCAGAATCACTTTCTCTAATTGCTGAGCAAAGTAAATCCAATGCTGGTGTTAGTTCTTCCACATCTGAGAAAGTATTAAAAAAAAAATTAACATGAAGAATACCAGGTTACTCCCAAAAAATTAATGCATCGAAAAATACTACATTGCAATATTTTAAAATATAAAATAAGAACCAATGACTTATTTTCAAAAAGCTCGCAAAACTCATTAAGTCTTATACCCACAAACTTCACAGTGGTTCTACTTAGTATTACTATTAACTCTCATTTTACTGACCATCTACTATACATATCTTAAGTATTGTGCTTAGGGTTTATCTTAGTCATCTAGTGCTGCTGTAACAGAAATACCACAAGTGGATGGCTTTAACAAAGAGAAGTTTATTCTCTCACAGTCCAGTAGGCTACAAGTCCAAATTCAGGGCATCAGCTCCAGGGAAATGCTTTCTCTATCAATTCTGGAGGAAGGTCCGTGTCATCAATCTTCCCTCGGTCTGGGAACTTCTCTGTGCAGGAACCTCAGGTCCAAAGGATACACTCTGCTCCCAGCACTGCTTTGTTGGTGGTATGAGGTTCCCATGTGTCTCTGCTAGCTTCTCTCTTTTTAATCTCAAAAGAGATTGGCTTAAAACACTATCCAATCTTGTATAACTGCCGCTAATCCATCTTATTACATCATAGTGATAGGGTTTACAACACATCAGGAAATTACATCAGATTACAAAATGGCAGACAATCATACAATACTGGGAATCATGACCCAGCCAAGTCGACAGATATTTTGGGGGGACACAAACCAATCTATGACAGTGTTTATAAATGTTATTTGTTTCTTTCAACAACCCAAGAGGTAGGTGTCATGTCCTTTTTATAGGTGAGGAAACTGCAGTTCAGAGAGGATAACTAACTTACCCAAGCTAATTTCCCAACAATCTTCAACAATTCTCTCTGTATTCTGTGTTATCCTCCCCTGTTCTGAAACTCCAATCACTTGTAGGTTATTCCTCTTGATAGAGTCCGACATATTTCTTAGGGTTTCTTCATTTTTTTAAATTCTTTTATCTGATTTTTCCTCAAATAAGTTGGTGTCAAGTGCTTTATCTTCAATCTCACTAATTCTGACTTCCATTGTCTCAATTCTGCTCCTATGACTTTCTACTGAGTTGTCTAATTCTGAAATTTTATTGTTACTCTTTTGGATTTCTGATTGCTGTCTCTCTATGGATTCTTGCAGCCTGTTAAATGTGTCATTATGGTCTTGTATAACCTTCTTAAGTTCCTCTATTGATTTGTCTGTATGTTCCTTGGCTTGTTCTGTGTTTTGCCTGATCTCCTTCCTGATCTCTGGAAGAGCTCTGTATATTAATCTTTTGAATTCTATCTCCAGTACTTCCAAGAAGTCTCTTTCTCTGGAAGGCTTCTTGATTCGTTTTGGGCGCTTGCTGAAGCCATTATGGTCTGCGTCTTTATGTGATTTGACATGGACTGTTGTCTCTGAGTCATCAATAAATGATTATATTCATTTATTGTTTGTTTGCTTACTGTGTCCTAGCTTGTTTTGTTTTGATATGCCCAAATAGGCTGGTCGTGTGAGCTAGTTTGATTATTGGCATCTCTGAAGCTCTCATGTCCTGTCACCAGGTGGTCAGAGCTGTTACTAGGTGTATGAGCCCAGGAGTCCATTTACTTTTCTTGTATGGATTCAGCTCGGGTGTCCAGGTAGTTGGTCACCAAGTGTGTGGTGCAGACTCTCTCTCACCTACAGTCCTAGACAGGCAAGGGTGACTGGAGCAGGCACAGGTATCTGGCTGCAGTAGGGGGTCATGCACTGAGCAAGGCAAGGGGCTGACTGCTGCCCCTGAGTGTCTGGGAGAAAGTACGTCCCTGTTCCCTAGAGCGTGTTGGTGGGTGGGATTTGCAGCTGGACTATGGGCACCCAATGTCATTGGCTGTAAGGACTAGGAGGCACCAGTTATTCTTGGATCCCTGTTACGGGTGGCTAGGTGGTGTGGGTGGACCCACCCGTCCTGAGGCCCCTGACGTGGGTAGGTGAGGACCCTGCTTAATGGGCAGGACAGTATCAAATGTCAAGAATATGCCACTCCCCCTTACAGGTGAAACAGCTGAAAATAGGCTTCAGGTATATACCCTGTTGTACTGTGCTAATGAGGGCCTACACTGTTGAAATGGGCCCACACAGGTCTATGCAGGGGTGAAAAGCATTCAAAGTCCATGGGCCGCTTATGCCGGTGCCTAGGCCGAGGGGCTGTGCCTTCCCTGAGTTCCCGGTTTAGGGGAACTGGCAGATAATTTCTTCCTATTTGTCAATCTGTTCCCTCTCCAAAGCTCAGGGCACGTGACGGGTCCTACTTCCGGCCCAGGGGCGCGGTAATCACTGAAGTTGGACCAGGACCTGGTGCAAAGCGGGGAGGGGTCAGGTAAATGGGAGAGAGGTTCTTTCCAAAGAGGGTGTTTTTTTGATCTGTGCAGTAGGTTAGATGCATGTACTTATCTTTTGCCAACTGAACATTGCTTTTTGCTGGTTCTGGAGGCTTGAGCAGACTCTCTGTCACTCGGTCTCTCCTGCAGTGGAAAACGTGTCCCAAGCACCTCTGGCTGCCTCACCGCGCACGCCAGCCGATCCAGCCTGCAGCATGCCGATGCTGGCCAGGTCAGGTCTGGGCAACTCCTCACTGCTTCTGAACTGTCTCCCCCTCCCCCTGCCACTCAGTCCAATTCCTCAACTTTGCGTTTGATGTTCAGGGCTCCTAGAATGTCATATATAATTGACTCACTTGTTTTTTCAGGTCTTTGTTGTAACAAGGACCACAGGAAGCGTCTGACTACTCTGCCATCTTGGCCCTGCCTCCTACCCAAGCTAATTTGGAAAGTAAATGGCAGAGCAAAATTTGAACTTAAGTCTGTCTGATTCCAAAACTGTTCTTTCAAACATGCAGGTGAAAGCAAGGAGTGTGGACTCCTGAATCTCAGCACTGGCCTTACCTCTAGAACTGGGTCTGTATGAGTGAGAATGATGAGAAAATGTTTTCCCTCCTGGGAAAGCAGGAAAAGTTATCTACTCTCCTGCTTCTTTCCAGATCCATCCCTACCCACCCTTAGAGCAGAGGAGTGCAGACAAGAGTGGAGTGAAAAGAAGTCACTGACCACCGAAGAACAGCAGTGAATAACGACCATACAGTTGCTGATAGAGCCCTTCTTAACACCACAAACCCAACCTTTCTCTATAAATTCAAGCACATTACAACAAAATCTGAGCGTAAAAAACTGCCAATCCAAAAGAGGGAGACCAAACTCTGCACTCAAAGCAAGAGAACATTTTAAAAAAAGAAAACTTTCAAATTCATGTTCCCAGTGAGAGCCAAGAGGACACGTCATCAAAGGAAAAGAGCAGGTTATCATTTTCTCCACATCACTAGAATCCTAACCGTTAGAACTTTTCTGGGGGACAATTAGTCAAAGCGTTAAAGAATACAAACTGTGCATACTCTTTGACCTGCAAATTCCACATCTAGAAATGCACTCCAAGTAAGTAATTGTACACAGATTACACACACACACACACACACACACGGCGTTAACAGCACATTGATAGTGATAATAAAAACTGGAATCAATCTAAAAATCTAATAGGAGTTTGGTTAGGTAAATTTATGACACAATGAAATTCTATGCCTCCACAAAAAGTGTATCAACTAGTAACAAAAGATGTATATATTATCATATGAGAAAAAGCAGATTATAAAACCGTAGGTACAGAGGAAAACACACTTTATTGCTCAACCTCTCTAAGGGGAGGATTTGCATGGCTACTTGGTCCAAGAATAAAAGTTAGGCTTCCTATTTATTAAAAAAAAAAAAAAAAAATCCAAAATCTCAAAAAGAAGTTTTGGTAATATAGCAAAAAAGTGGAAGAATCAGGCTAGAAATTCTCATAACAAGTCTCAATCCGCAGCTCAGCCAGCCACATATCAATATACATATCAGGCAGTTGCAAGGATGGCAATACATAGTCCAAATGAATTTTATTCTCTTGCCTCTTTGAAAGATTCTCTCTTCCTTGCATACTAAAAATGCAAAGTACAGGATATGAACAATAAATACCCCACTTAGAAAGAGAACACATATAAAATCTTACAACTTTCTTAAGTTTCCACAAAGCATATAAAATTGCATGACTGAGTTTTGGCACAAAAATAAGTCATCAGAAAACACAATAATTTGAAAGTGATTAAAAAGATAAATACAAATGTAGAGATCTTTATTCACTTACTTCTTAAATATAAATCGGATGGAAAGTGATCAAACTGATCAAGTGCGGAAGAATTTGAGGATGGATTCAAAAGATTTTCTTTGCTCTTCAAAAAGAAATCTACTGTGTCCAGCTGACGATTTTCTATCCCAGCCTGAAAGGGAGGAAAATCAGAAAAAAATTACGATAGAAAAAGGGGAGGAAAAAAATCAAGATACAGCTTTTTTTTTTTTTAAACTTGAGAACTTAATGATCAGAGACTGAAGGAAACACAAGGCTATCTTTACCTTGCGTGAGGAGCTGGGATCTAGTGAGGATTGTAACAGTGACTAATTACGTGACCTGGGGCAAGTCTTTGTAACTTTTCTGAACATCAGTTTCTGCCTCAATAGAAACAGGAAATTAGACTAGAAAACTCTTCCAGCTCTACCATGCTTTTAATTCTAAGATCACTCAAAGGTAGGTACTTGGGGATCGTTCTTACAGTTACAGTCTGCATACACTGAAATGTTAAAGCAGCATGATACAACATTAACTGAAAAAGCAGGATAAAAACAGACTCCCAGGCCTGACCGGGCATCTTGAGGAGCCTTCCTATACAGAACACCTAAAACTCACGGGTTTAAAAATACATGTACCTCTAAATGCTCAGCTGAACTAGCAAGAAAGTAACTGAAATTCTAGGGGACAAAAACAAGGAGATAAATCCAGAAAAGTAACTGAGATCTAAAGCCAACAGCTACCTGAAGGCATCTGCAGATCTGATGGCTTAAAGCAGGGGATGGAAAATGAAGGCCTATAAACCAAGGATTTATAAAAACCTTGCCTGTTTGTATACATAAGCTTATGGACACAGCCACATTCACTCATGCACATACTGTCAACAGCTACCATGGCAGAGCTCAGTAGCTGCAACAGAGAGCATATGGCCCACAACAAAAAGACAAACCACCCAATTAATAATGGGCAAAGGTTTGAATACACACTCCTCCAAAAAAGATATAAAAATGGCCAATAAGCACATAAAAATATGCTTAATATCATCAGTCATCAGGGAAATACAAATCAAAACCACAGTGAGATGCCACTTCACACCCACTAGGATGGCTGTAATCAAAAAGATGAACAATAACAAGTGTTGGTGAAGGTGTGGAAAAATTGGAACCTTTGTATATTGCTGGTGGGAATGCAAAATGGTGCACTCACTGTCAAAAAGTTTGGTGGTTCCTCAAAAAGTTAAAGAGTTACCATATGACCCAGTAATTTCACTCCTAGGTATATAAACAAGGAAAATGAAAACACTTGACTTTGATTCTAGCTCCTGTTTTATTAGTATGGCTGTGGGCCAGTCACTTAACTGTTTTGAGCCTAAGTTTCTTCATCTGTAAAACGAAGAGAATAAACACTAACCAACCCATCTCATTGGCTGTTTTAGGACAAAATTAAATAATACATATGAAAGAGTGTTTGTGAATTATAAAATGCTATATAAATTCAGGTTATTTTATGTCCCTTCAATAGCTGGATTAGAAGAGTAGGAATATAAGGTAGGAATAAAACATCACTCCTATTCAAGCTTTCTATAACTTGCTTTCACTTCCTTTAGTTTCATCAGCTTATTGTTGACTCCATTTCCTATAACTTTTTCTTTTTTAAACAATGTTTATTATAATCTCATATCTTTTAAAGCCAAACAGAGTAAACTGCTAAACAGAGTTAGGGTAACGAGACACCCAGAACTGAGCAAATGGATGGGTCAAGACTACAGTTCTTTTTGTTGCTAGGTTAAATAAATTCTCCCAAATCCTCAGTCAAATAAGAATATGCGACAGAAAAATAATCAAGCCAAGTCCTACAGACATTTAAACCTGTTACCTCTAGTGCGTGTATGGGGATTGAGCACCTTCCCCAAGCGTTGAGATGACAGAGAGAGTCCACAGTGCTGGCACTTCCGTGGATCATTAGTCTATTTAAAAACTCTTCTTGAGTCAAACCAAACAAAATCAGAGAGAGTCCGTTTTCTACAGGGAAAATAAAAGTTTGCTTTAATAAATTATTAGGGCTGAGGTGAGGTTTCTAATTACTTAATACTTCAGCACCATAATTACAAATATATTTATTGGACACAGTGTACTAGTATAACTTTAATTCACTGCAGTTTTTCAATGTTTCTAAAGAAAAGTTTTATTTTGTAAACGCTGACCACACGGTAAATTCTCATAAGAACATGCATCCTATGAAATAACACTAAATCCCACATTTCTACTTTATATTATCTGGTATAATCAATGCCTGGATTATACTTATGGATGTTAGACTCCTGGTTTACTAAACAATTAATAGCATACTCCTGACCCACAGAAATACATGATTACTGAAATGTGGGTAGTGAAGAAGCAGTACATGCTTAGTTCAGCCACAACCTTCAATGTATTTGTAGAACATTCTGACATAAATGCTGAGTAAGTGCACATCTGATATTGCAAACCCGTGTGCCTACAGGGGCCAAGTAGGTGGTGAGAGAAGTGCACGAAAAACCTAACTGGGAAGAAAATGGCCCGTCCAAAGGGAATAACTGAAAGTCAAGTCCAACCTGTAAGTTACTAAGCAGGAATGTAGGTACAGCGTTGCCAGATCTTAAAATTTTTCAAAAACAGCTGGAAATCCAGACTTTTACGTAAAACCCTTGAATTTTATATGTTTAAAATAAATCAAGTCTTTAGAAAAGGCTTTGAGTTCTACTCTGTCCTACAAGGTTGCCATGAATCAACATCGACTCAATGGCAACGGGCTTGTTTTTTTTTTTAGTTAGTGCAAGTCAAACAAAATAAATCTGCAGTTCAACAGACAGCCCGTGTGCAGCCAGTGTGCAGCCTATGCTTGTGCAGAATGAAGTCGACCCAAGACTCTCTGGGTGGGAAGCAGCCTTTATTATTCTTAAATGTTCTGATTTAGTATCCTCATTTAGCTGAGCAGAAATGACCCTAATTAAAAATTGAACATATAAGACAAAGTTACCAAGAGCAACACCAACTTCCTCAGGAAAGACGACTGCTTAGAGGTGAGAAGAGGCACTAGCACCCCCAAGGCAGCAGAAGGAAACACAGTGAAACCCACAGGACCCTTGTTTGTCTGCATCTCGCCAGCTTTCCACCTCTGACAGGGTTCAGTCTTCTTGCTCGTTTTAATGGGAAATATATGAGTTTTTCTTCTCTGACAGGTTTCCACCTTCCACACATTCTGGCTTCCGCAGGTTTTACTGTACATTCAGAAAGCACACTCTCAGCAATAGATTTCAGTCTGATACAAGGCACACTCACCTGTCAAAACAAGGCACAGCTGTTGGTCTCCATCGCTCTCTATAGGAATACGTATTTTGCCGAGGGAAAAACACTGCATGCCCTGGGTCTCCAAATCCCAGAGGATAATGGTGCAGCCTTTCCTTTCTGTTGCCTGAGTAAACAGTGCGGTGAATCCCGTCACAGACACACACTCAAGCTCAGCGGCTTCCTCTTCATCACTGACATGCACTATCTTCCAGGACCTTTCTGGATCACTGGTCTTAGCATGACCATCTTTCCGTGGAAAACTATACTGGCCACACGTGTCCTGCGGCATGAAGGCCCAACTCAGCACATTGGTACCGTGATTACCAGATTCAAAGGATTCCAAATGCAAATAATCCTGGAACCACGGAGTACAATGGGAAACCTCCGGTTTGGGGATCTTTATTGTTTCATTCAGTGATGATAGCTGAGCTTTCCAAGACCTGGGAAGATAGGGTAGAACTCATGCCTGTTACAGGGAAAAGCCCTAAGTAAAACACTAAACCAAGGCAAGGACACTTACTTTTTTCTCTAAAAAAAAGTAAAAAAGCATCTACCTCATTAATGGACCACAACTACCACAGTCTCCACCAGACTGAGTCCAGCACAACTAGATGATGCCCGGCTACCACCACTGACTGCTCTGACAAGGATCACAACAGAGGGTCCTGGACAAGCCAGAGAAAAGTGTAGAACAAAATTCTAACTCACAAAAAAAGACCAGACTTACTAGTCTGACAGAGACTGGAGAAATCCGGAGAGTATGGCCCCCAGACACCTTCTTAACTCAGTACTGAAGTCACTCCTGAGGTTCACCATTCAACCAAAGATGAGACAGGCCCATAAAACAAAATGAGACTAAATGGGCACACCAACCCAGGGGCAAGGACAAGAAGGCAGGACGGGATCGGAAAGCTGGTAATGAGGAACCCAAGGTCGAGAAAGGGAGAGTGTTGACATGTTGTGGGGTTGACAACCAGTGCTACAAAACAGTATGTTATTAATTGTTTAATGAAAAACTAATTTGCTCTGTAAACCTTCATCTAAAGCACAATACAAAATAAGTTTTATAACTGAAATCATTAACAGTAGTACTTAAAAAACAAACAAACAAAAAAGCATCTACCTCCGTAAAGATCTTTAGTGAAAAGGTACTGTGCCCATATAACAAAAAATAGAAAAAAATTAAATCCAAAAAGATTGTTTCTGTACCTATCAACCTGGAAGGAAAACTTGGTCAGTTTCATGTTGTAGTCAGAGTTAACAGGATCATCTTCATCTATTCCTTTAGGTCCTTGAATAGGAAGATCTTCTAGCCTTCTTTCACGTAGTAGGTGCCCTGGATGTTGCCTACATTTAAAAAATAATAACCATGGAAAAAAATGATGATCAAACCCAAATTCACGTTATTATTGCCCCTGTTAAAATGAACAGTCATGGTCAGCTGATTCTCAACAAGGGTGCTAAGTCCATTCAATGGGGGAAAGAAGAGTCTCTTCAACAAATGGTGCTGGAAAATTGGATTTTCACGTGCAGAAGAATGAATCAGGACCCATGCCTCACACCATACACAAAAAACAATTCAACATGGATCAAGAACCTAAACGTGAAAACTGAAACCATAAAATTCTTATAAGAAAATATAGGAGCATGGCTACGGGACCACAGTTTTTAACAATGGATTATCAGGTATGATAACAAAAGCATAAGCAGCAAAAGACAAAACAGATAAATGGGACCTCATAAAAATTAAATACAGGTTCCTGACTTACGGTGTATTGAAGTTATGATGAACTGTGCTTACAACCATCTTTTTTTGGTACCTCTTATGGTTAATGATACGTACGCATGTACATATGTATTAAAATATATTCTTAAGTTTATATGTAATGTTTCCAACTCTCAAAGACAAGCAAAGATTGGATTTATAAAGATACTGATAAAAAAAAGGCAATAATAATATAACTAGAAAAAAATGAGGTATTTGACTTATGTCAGAATGGACTCACAATTGAGTCGTCATAAGGGAACCCTGCTGTAAATCAGGGACTACTTATAGTTTTGTTTATCAAAGCGTTTTATCAACAAGTTGAAGAGACAACCTACAGACTGGGAAAAACTTTTCAGAAACAATGTATCTTGTAAAGGTTTAAGATCCAAAATATAAGAAAACTTCTACAACTTAACAAAAATACAAACAACTCGATAAAAAAATGGGCAAAGAACTCTTTCACCAAAGAGGATATTCCAATAGCCCAGAAGCACGTGAAAAGATGCTCAACGTCATTAGCCATTAAAAAAAACCCACTGCCACCAAGTCGATTCCGACTCATAGTGACCCTACAGGACAGAGTAGAACTTCCCCATAGGGTTTCCAAGGCTGTAATCTTTACAGAAGCAAACTGCCATTACGTTTCTCCCACGGAGCAGCAGGTGGGTTTGAACTGCCAACCTTTCAGTTAGTAGCCAAGTGCTTAACCACTGCGCCACCAGGGCTCCATTAGCCATTAGGGAGATGCAAATCAAAACCACAAAGAGATATCACCTCGCCCTCGTTAGAATGGCAATGATTTAAAAAAAAAAAACAGAAAACAACAGGTGTTGACAAGGATGCGGAGAAACTGGAAACGTCATCTATTGCTGGTGGGAACGCAAAATGATACAGCCACTATGGAAAAAAGTTTGGCGATTCCTCAAAAAGTTGAACATAAAACTACCATATGACCCAGCAATCCCAATCCTAGGTACATACCTAAAAGAAGTGAAAGCAGAACGCAAACAGAAACCTGTACCAATGTTCACCGCAGCACTTCTCACAATAGCCACAAGGTGGAAACAACCTGAATGTCCATCAATAGATAAACGGATAAACAAAATGTGTTATACACATACAACCGAATATTACAGGTAGTCCCTGACTTACAACGGGGTTCCCTCTGTCATAATTTGGTTCTGACGTTAAGTCAAATACCTCAATTTTTTTTTTTAGTTTTCATGATTATTGCCATTTATTATTAGTATCTTTATAAATCCGATCTTTTGTCTTTGAGGGTTAGGAACATTATATAACTTAGAGATATATTTTAATACATAATATATACATAAAAAAATACAAATCATTAAAAAAAAAAGGTCATTAAATGCGGTTCGTTGTAACTTGAATATATCATAAGTTGAGGATTGCCTGCACTTAGTGATAAAGGGAAATGAAGTCCTGATAACACATCGCAACACGGATGAACCTTGAAAACATAACGCAGAGTGGAATAAGTCAATCATGAAGGACAGATACTATGTGAGCTCACTTACAAGAAATAAGCAAATGTACAGAAACCAAAGGGAAGAGGAAAGGGGAAGTTAACCTAGGGTACACTGAGTTTATGTTAACAGTGACAGAATAATTCAGGAAAGGATAGTGATAATGGTTGCGCAACGTGAAGAACATAATCAGTGTCACTGAATCATACGTATAGAAATTGTTGAACTGGTCAATGTTTTATTATGATATTTCACCACGATAAAAATTTTAAAAATAACAACAAAAACAAGATAGTCACAGAGAAGGAACTATACAGACAGCAAGTTTCCCTTCTCCATTGCTTACAGCAGAGTGATAAGTCACTCTCAAGAATTTGACCCTTAGGGTAGTTAGTTTTATAAAGAGAAGACTGTACTTACTGGGTATCTACTATGTTGCAGAATTGTACTAGTTATTTTACATAAAATATCTTAGTTAAGTAAATATACCTCCATTTTATCTATATGAACACCAAGGCTCAGAAAAAAGTGGTGGAGCTGGATCTGAACCAGGTCAATGTGACCATAAAACCAGGTTTTTCACCTCTTTTAAACTGACACCACAAGGTAAGATGTAAGCTGAGACCAGGGGCATGCAGAAGAACTAGCAAGGCAAAGTATGTGTGTGGGCTGCTCAGTGGGGGACTGTGCAAAAGAGGGCTGTCACGTTTGAGGAACACAAACAAGGCCCGGTGGCTGAAGCATAGGGAATGAGGAGGGTGATGTGAGATGAGGCTGGAGAGGTCACAGAGGACAGACTGCAGGGTCTCGTGGACTAGTAAGAATTTCCGGCTTTTATCTTGGGGGTGGAGATGGGGAAGGAAGTCAGAAGTTTTAAGTAGAAAAGCAATATGATCAGAAGCAGAACAGCCGCGGGGAGAAGGCAAAGCAGTTAACGCCCCCGACTGCATTCCCCAAAGTGTTAACTTTTTCAACAGTATGGAAACTGACATCATATTTGTCAGGGTATGACTTAAAAAAAAGTTAGAGAAGGTGAAAGTGAGACAAGAAGATGCATGAAGAAGGTAGCCGCCCCACCCCCCGCAACCAAAGGTAAATACCTTGCCCCAAGACGTTAATACCTGGCTATACCTCTGCTAAGATATGCGCTTGAACATCATCACTCTGGCTACTCTACAGAGGATGCTGAAGGGGTAACAACAAACAAGAGGAGACCAATCAGATGCTGCTAAGATAGTTCAGGTGAGAGACGGAACACTTAGGAGGGAGAATGGCTAGGACTTGGTGGTTAACCAAATGTGCGTCAAACAGCAAAAAGAGTTTGAAGATATAGGAGAGGAAATGGAGAACAGCTGCTGAGGAGAGAATGGACTGGATTTAGAGAATACAAAGATGGACCTTTGTAGGAGGACAGGAACTCCCTCCATGGTAATAGGGGAGAAGACAGAGAAGGCAGGTGCGTATGAAAGTGGGTTTATAATTTAACATGACAAACTGAGGGAGCTCCCATTTGATGGGTTCTACTTCCTTTACAAAGTAGGAGGGAAGATCATCCAAGGAGAGTTGGGGGTAAAGAGATGACTGGAGGTTTGAGGAAAATGGAGACGGTTTAAAAACACTGTTGTAGAGAATGGGCTGCTCAAAAATCATTATAAAATTTCCCAGCAATATTGAGAGACCAGTTGAAGGTGGGAATGTGAATTTTTAGTGATATTAATTTTTCTGGTTTTCTCACAAGTGCTAAACTGCTTGGGTGCAGGCAATGAGAAGGCAGAATACAGGTTTCATCCAAGGTTGGGATTTTGCCAAGCCAAGCGCCACCTTAACAGGATCAAGAGTTTGGGGTACCTGTGAAAAAGTGACTGAAATGATGGATCACAGAACCTATGCTGGCAAGGGAGGGAAGTGAAGACAGGAGCGGGCTGAAGAAGCAGAGTAGAAGGCCAATGGATTAGAAATTCCAATGAGATCAGATGACAAGTGAAGTTGGGGTGCTGAAGTAAGCCAGCTGAAAAGGATGGGAAGCTGTGGTCAGAGGTGAAGATGTGTAAAACAGTGATTTGGGGAAGGGGCAACTTTAAATAATGAGACAGGCCAGGGCATGACTATGGCCATGGACAGCTACGGTAAAGTGGAAGAAAAAATCACTGACAATGAACTGAAAGAACAAACCATGAGGACGGGTTCTTGGGGAGCTTATTAACTGACACAGCATGAAAAATTAGGAAAATACAAGACTATAGAATTACCATAAGTGCTAAACTGTGGTTCAAACCAGAAGTGCTACAGAAGCTCAGAGAGGAGAAAAATCATGAAATGGGTATAAAATTATAGGTGGAAGGGGTTTTAGTAAGGAAAGGCTTCATGAAAGCAGCAGATATGAATCCGGTCTCAAACAGTGAACAGCACTTGATAAAATGGAAAGAAGGGACACACGTTCTGTATCAAGGGAAAGGAGAGGCAGGGCTAGGAGGCAGGAATGACAAAAACAGCACTTTTACACTTCAAAATAAAGCATGTAGTTAACTTCACAAAATTATACTAAAAGATATTCATGTAAATAACTAAAAAACACAGATCACTCATTCAGCTGGGCAGAGCAAATCCCTAAATTTGCTGTAGAGACCAGAACACTAGCTCTCCTTGGCTGATGTTACAGTAGCTGAGTTCAAGGAAATTTTTTTCAAAGGAATGTGCCTGGCGCCCTCCTCAGTTCTCCTGGAATGTTGCCAAACCATCCAGAGGCGCAGAAGTCTACTCAAAGGTCGCAGCAGCTGAGAAGGCTGTCCTCTCTTCCTCACAGTCAAACTGTTTTCCAAGGTGGATGGTCAGGAGATAACACCACACACACAGGGATGTCAGTCAGTAAGAAAAATAGCCTACTGGAGAACAAGCACACAATCTGGGAATGTGTTAAATCCATCCTTGCTCGAAGATTAAACAACAAAACATTAAAAGGCCATTCAGACCAAATGAAAACATCAAGGCAGTTGCAAAGAGTTCCGATAGGTATGTAAAGACGAATTTATCCTTTCTGCGCTCTAAACAAAGAGCAATGAAACCTATCCTAATTACTCAAGAATTTGTTTATCTCACTCACAGTGAGAACCAAACATTCTAATGCTTTTAAATGGCCCTAAATATTGGAAGTCCTAAATGTGGACTGGCCTACTTTTAGATAAGTTGCAAGAGGCTGCTGGGTGTATGCACGTATATTCTCACAAGTACACATGCACGTATCTCGAACATTATAAAATCAGAAGCAACTAGAATATCTAAATCAAAAAGCAACACAAATAAGCACTTAGTTTTTACTAATGCATTTATACAGCCACAAGGGTTGGCCCTCTGAGGAAAACACCTTAGGAAACAGCTGGAGAAAGCTAGCTGAATACATCTCGTCAAAGTCCTCTTTGAAAAAAGTGATCCCTGAGGCAGCCAGGACCCCAAGCCACACAAGAAGCAATTCTAACACCGGGTATACAGCATTTCTTTTCTACTCAAACGTGGGGCAAAAGATGAGTAGACAACATATAACAATTAACAGATTTTTAAATTGTGCTTGACTGCATTTTTATGTGCTGGTATAAACCATATATAGATCATATAAAGCAAAATAAAAACTTGGATGTAAATCCAGAAATAAAAGGGTGGCCAGTGGACATTCATATGCATTACTGTATAGTAACAACCTCACTAAGTGGTGGCTAGAATGTGCTTTAAATGAAGAGAAAACTCTTTAAACAAAAAAAAACTAACAACCTTTTTAACTTCTCATGGCTCTAATTATTGGCCTCAAATTAGAAACTGCAGTAATAAACGTACCTGAAATACAAATTTAAGTTGAGAGCAAGCGCGGAGCTGGAGGAGCTGACAACCACAACAACATCTAGGTCCTGAGACACCTTCAGTGAAGTGAAGGACGACACCTCAGCTGGCTCCGGTTGCTGCTCATCCCACACATCTTCTTGGTGAAGTGCTAAATCCACACGAGCTACATGTGTACCATCCACAACGTCAAAAATATCTTCAAGTTAGAGTTAAAGAAACATCGGTTTTAAATATGCTCTGGTGGTGCAGTGGTTAAGCACTCAGCTGCTAACAGAAAGGTCAACGGTTGGAACCCACCAGACACTCTGCAGGCGAAAGACGTGGCAGTGTGCTTCCATAGAGATTTACAGCCTTGGAAACACTATGGGGTCACTAAAGTCACAAACGACCAGATGGCAGTGGGGTAGATTATTTAAAACACAGGACAGGAGACAGCTACAGACTTCCTCACTCTGATCCTGTAGGCACAGTAACAGAAGGAAGCCTGGACACGGAGACAGCCCATCACAGTATAAAGTTGATGGTACAATAAATAACCTGATAGCTCATTCACCAATAGTTGAAAACCTACTCTGTGCCAGGTCCTGAGACACTCCTAACATTTTCTCAAGTGTTCTTCAATGGCACTGTCCAAGAGAAATACACTGTGGGCCATATTTGTAACTATAAATTTTCTAGTAGCCTTATTAAAAAAATAAAAACTAGTGAACCTAATTTTAATATTTATGTAACTCATTATATCCAAAATATTATCATTTTAACATGTAATCAATATACAAATTATTAATGAGGTATTTTACTTTCTTTTTTATATGAAGTCTTCAAACTCTGGTATGTATTTTACAAGTTCAGTACATCTCAATTTGGATGCTAAAATTTTATCAGAAATACCTGATTTGTATCTAGACTTAATAAAATTTATAGTTGAAAAGCTGGGACAACCAAGGTTGTTCCAAACATACTTAAAAGTTTTGCAATAACTGAATTGAGTGTCAATTTTTAAGTCAAAAGTAACTAAATATAATGAAGAATTCAGAACCTCAGAGCACTCGCCACATGTCAAGTGCGTGACAGCCACATGTGGCGAGTGGTTACCATGCTGGACAGTGCGGTTCTATAACCTGGCAACAAAAATGAAGTTAATCCAGTATGACCTTTTTTCAAAAGAACTCTTAGTACGGAACATGATATAGGTAAAATAGAAAAGCCATTCCTTTAATTCAGAAATGAAAGTCCAAAATTCATATTTCAAATCTTCAAAATAATTTTGCTAATGATCTACAGATTTGCTAGAGACAAAGAAACCATGATATTTTCCAGAACCGAATTAGAAGTAATTAAGTAAATCACACAGTTTGTTAATATAATGGAATACTAGCAGATCATGAGAGATGATAAATGGTGGACTATAGTCATAAATGAAAATACATGTATTACAACACAAGTGAGAAAAGCAGCCATCTAAATCCTTCCTGGAACAAGTACACATTCCCATTGCCATCGAGTCAATTCCAACTCATAGTGACCCTACAGAACACAGCAGAACTGCCTCATAGGGTTTCCAAGGAATGGCTGACGGATTCAAGCTGCCAACCTTTCGGTTAGCAGCTGAATGCTTAACCACTGCACCACCAGGGCTCCAAGTACACATTAGGTATTCAGTAAGCATATTTTTAATAAACAGGTAAAGCAGAGTATACACAGTTTTAAAAGAACACAAATAAGTACGGATATGATGATTACAACTATGAAAAAAATTAGGTATAGACTGAAAATAGTGAAGTGGGATATAAAGTGGTATAGCTGGATATTTTAAGTACATGAGGATCTTTTCCCCTGAAAAGTTTTACCGAAAACAAACTAACCACTCTCCCCACTCCCTAACCTCCAAAACCAAAAGCCTAAAAAGGCTCACCTTTCTACGTATTCTCTTCCCCTGCATGTCAACATCTTTACTACCAAGGATACAGATCCAGCCTAAACTATTCAAAACAAAAAGAATTCCTCTGCACAGCTGTGTATCAACAATCCCGCCCACCGCCGGTGCAGCCAAGTCCAGTGTGAAACTGTTGAGTACTCTAATCTCAGCATCTCCTTCGGGAAACAGAACGTGCAGGACGATATGCTTGTTGATGAACAATAATGATGTGTTATTGTGAAATGACAGAATTCTCAAAGATGATAAGGAAATACCTATGAAACAAAAGGATGTTGTTTCAAACTCAGTCACAGTTTTACAATTGGTAAATTTCATTTTGTGAACATAACACAAACAGGTAAAACAAAAAAACCCAGCGAGCTACATCCAACTCTAGGCAGTTACTGTTCACACCCACCTAAGCAAGTGGGCATTGGGAGGGGGGAAGAGGATGAATATATAGTCTACAATATCCCTGTCCTTTCTATTCATGGCCAGAGTCTGACAGCATACAAGAAGATTAAAAAAAAAAAAAAAACCCTGCTTAGCCATGAGACTCCACAAGAGCCATCACTTTTTTTGTTTTTAAAGAAAAATAAGCAACCGTACAGATCAATGGTGGTGAGTATGCTACTGTCCTAAAATTAGAAGCCTGAGCACTCTGGTTTCTGCTGCCTGTGGTCATCAGGCCAAGACACAGTCAACAGCTTTGTGGCCAGCCTACATCAGCGCTGCTCAGCAGAAAACAGCGTGAGCCACAGATGCAAGCCAGAGTAATTTAAAATTTTTTAGTAACCACATCAAAAAAGTAAAAAAGAAACAGGTGAAATTTTAATAATATGCAATATTTAGTCTAACATGTCTAAAATATTATCATCTCAACAGATAATACAAAATTATTGAGATATTTTATTTTTATATACTAAATAAATTACATTTTATATACACTTAAATTACAGCTTAATTCCTACTAACCACAGTTCAAGCGCTCTACAGCCCCGCGTAACTAGTGGCTATTGCATTGCACAATGCAAATCTAGATGAACCTCTCTCCCTGACTTCAGCTCTATAGGAACTTTCCCTGCAATATATAAAATTACCTAGTAATGTCACAAATTTAAACATGCTGAAATACCACCTGTAGATACTTACTCATACTTTGATCTTCGATAAGCTTTTGTAATGTCTCCCCATTACAGCTAAACAAAATGGTTGAATCACATCTTCCATCTTTCAAGTTAAATTCATAGATGAACAGTTCATACTTTTTACTAAGAATTAGCAATTTGGGCTTGTCTGTTGGTGTGCTGCGGTTAGGAGAATTCTCCCACACAAATCTAAAGAAAAGTTTTGATTATTTATTATAGTCTATATCACAGTAACATTCACCCACAATAGTGAGGGTAAAGAGAGTACAGCTCTTCAGTTCACTGGGTTAGAAATCTATACTCCAACTTAAGAGACTGTAAACTGCTCTAGCACTTTCTCCTCTTCTATCTTCCCCTCCTTCATTTCTTCCCCCCCTAACTTGTCCACTCCAAAGCAAGAATATAGCAGTGGTGAAAAGAAAGGGACCTCGGAGCAAGAAATGACGGCTCCTCTTTTTTATCTTAAATCCTAACTGATATGTTTAAAAGAACTGTCCCAATCAAAGATAACTATCAGCAATTTAATGTGTATGTTATTTATATGAGGTGGTGTTTACAATAAACAAAATAGGCTTTTGCTAACAAATGCTTTCAGAGAAAAAATGGGATTATTTGTATTTAAAGACTTTGAAGAGTACTTGAACACTCCAAAATAGTATGTTATAGAACAGCTGTGTCCAACAGAACTTTCCATGATGATGGATATGGTCTATATCTGCACTGTCTAATAAAGGGAGACAACAGCCACATGCAGCTATCGACCACTTGAAGTCTAGGCCTTATTACTGAGAAACTGAATTTTTCATTTTATTTAATTTTATCAGCCACCTGTGGCTAATGGCTATCATACTGGACAGTGCAGATACAGAATTTTTAAAAAACACTATAATATCAAAATACTAACACTGGCTAACAAGGACAGAAAAATACTAATGATGCAACAGCTTCTGATTACATGAAATTAAATTTTAAAAAGGACCTCAAATCTGAAAACAATGCAATGGAATGAGATGAGCTAGCATGCTGATAAAGTTCCATCCTCTTCAAAGCTTCTTTTTTCTACTGAAGGTACAGCTGAGAATTAAGTTTTATATCAGACTCCAAAAAAACTGGACTTGGTGCTATTATGCCCTTATTAGAGAAAAAGACTGACACATTTTACATGTCTGTCTTTATACTGATGATTTGTTGTGAATACCCAATTCCTGACTGCTTACACTGAAAATCTGGAAAATAGCCTAAATGTCAAATATGGAAAAGGTTATACAAAATAAGATATATTTAAAAGGTGGAATACTATGATACCATCAAAATCACTAGCACATGGACTAGACCGCCACACAAAGAGACAGGAAATTTTCAATGAAATATAAAACTTACAGTGATTTCAATAATATTTAAAAAAAAAAAGACTATATACTTTGAGAAAAATTGGAAGTAAACCCTGACTACTATAAATTTTCTTCTAGGAAATATTTTAATTGAATTAAAATTCAATTCAAATTAAAAAAATTCTGGGGTCCTCCTCTCCCCTACTAACTTCATGCACTAGCTTATAAATGCCCTCATCACTTCACGAGTGTATGGCTTGTCTTCTATTAGGTTCTCAAACACCTAAAGACCTCTTCTTTTCTCCCTCTGCCCATTCCTTTCTTTACGGGGCTGTGTTCAGAGATACTTAATACTGTTGAATAATCTCCCCTATTGGGAGGTTCCTTTTCTACCGACTAGAAATCAGGTATAAGCAAGCCAAACACGGAACAGGTGAAAACACTCACTGATTAAACTCCAAGTCCTGACCGAGAATTACAGAAGTGGGAAGTAATGCATTACGTTGTAATTGTGTTTTTTTCTGTCTCCCCACCTCACGTGAGCACCTCATGAGTAAGAATTATCTTATTCAGCTTTTTAGGCACTGCTCCTAGCTAACAGTAGATGCATAATAAATCTGAATAAATAGGTAAGCGAATAAACAAATTGTCCTTAAAAGAAAAAAAAAAAAGTCCACATGTGAAGGAGAGCACTATTTGTTTCAGTGACAAGAAAAATCTATCAGGATGACTCAGGTAAGAATGATCCCCAGCTGGCATCTCTGAGTTAACTAAAGAATACGGGTATGGTGCACGACAGAGACAATCAACCTGTGTTCAATGAATGAATCAGCGCCGAAGGAGCTGCCAATTCTGGGTTCGCCTCCGCCCATTCGCAACAGGGAAGCAGGGATGCAACACGACGAGCACTGGACCCGGGCCCCAGAAAAGGTTCCGGAGGGAACTGGATGCGCGTCTGGGACTTTCCCGAGCCCATCACTCCTTTCCCGCCACCCCTGTGCCAGGACGGGGAATCGAGGTGACTCCTCGGGGAGGGGCCAGGCGAGCTAAGATTCCAGGCTCCCCCGCCCCCAATCCTGCCCTCCCGCGGCACTTACTGCCGGAAGGGGCCCTCGAGCGAGCAGTTGCCCCCGCCGCCCGGCGCCAAGGAAAGCACTTGGAGGCTGCCCGCAGCCGTCAAGCTCCCCAAAACCTCCTGCTCTCTGTGCAGTTGTGCGCGGGGTCCCAGCCGCCCCGTTGCCTCGGCGGGGATCGGCACCAACAACACAGATAGAACCCGATCCATGGCCTCGGTGTTGCAACTACCGCCGGCGGTAGCAACACTTCCGGGCACCTCTGCTGCAGCCATCTTGGTTCAGCCGTTCCTTCCGGTCACCTGCGCGCAATCGCCCAGATCCCGACCGCAAGCGCGGGGCGCGCTCCTGGGCATGCGTGTTAGCCTGCCCGGTCACGTGGTGCCTCGTGACTCCCGCCGCGACTAGTCAGCGTTCTCTGCCCACTGACATTCCCTGCCTGTGGGGGGCGTTGCTCACCGCGGGAGTCTGTCATAAAGCCAAAGTTGTTCGCCAGGTTAGGATAGAAGGTCGTCAGTAACTATGTAGTTCTCGCTATCCTCACTGACGCTAGTTTGGGCCTTCAACTGTTTCTTGTCTGAGCTATTGTGGTAGTCTCCCAACTGGCCCACCCCTCACCCAGCCAGCCTCCGCGACTTCCTGCTTTGACTCCAGCAACACCACATCCGCCTCTGCCAGCCCACTCTTGGCTGCCCTGAAATACTTGAAGGCCTGCAGGTCTTTGCAGCTGTTCTGCCAGTACTCTTGGCCTTCTTCATCTAGCTGCCTCCTACTTCTGTCACTAGAAACCCTTTGGAAACCCTCCAACACCAGTTTCCTGCCTCTTACTGTGTAAACATTGGATACAGGCTCTAGGGTAGAAGCAATTAATTGCCTTGGTAGCATGGACTAAAGTCTTCCTGTCCTGATCCATCATGAGGGAGTTGAGGTGAATGTTGAAGTCACAGGACATCCATTGTTAACAGACAAGAAGACAGTAAGACTGAGGTTAAGAGATGGAGGAGCTCCTGATTCATTACTTCTGTTTTCTCAGGGAAGGATGATCCAAGATCGTCAGCAGAAAAAAAGAGATGCGGAGAAGTCTTGATAGACAGCAGTTCCTTTCTAACCAACACATTCTTTTCCAGTCAGATGGGAGCTAATCAAAGGCCAGTTGTGCTTGGTTTCCATCCTCTTCGGTTTCTAGGACTTTCTTTCAAATCATCCCCCCACCCCCACACACTGATTTATCCCTGTTTATAGTATGTTTGCTAAAGGAAGCACTCCACTAATCTTGTTGATGTTAAAAATCGTTCCTTAACCCACATCGATAACTACCCTACTGCCGAGTTTCTCTGCTTCCCTTTTAGCAAAATTCCAAGTTAAATCTTGTAGTCCCTCCTTCCTCACCTTAAAGCCTCTAACCAGGATATGTCCAACCCACCAAAACTGCCCCCTGAAGTTTCCAATGATTATGCTGTCACAACAAGCAGTCACCTCTCTATCCTCATTCCAATAATCATTCCTATCCCAAAGTACTTTCTAAATTACATCTTCTTCATGTTTAGAATTGGTGACTTCCTATCAATTAAAAATTGATTTCTTTATTATAGTTTATGAATCTAGGCCCTACCTAACCCTCTTCACCTTACCATCCTTTTATCTGTGTACCTCAGCCCGACTTTCCTTCTCTTTTCTTGAAACACACCAGGCTCATTCTCTGAGGACTTTGTGCTTGCCAGTGCTATAGGGTCGCTGTTGAGTCGGAATCAACTCCAGGGCAACAGGTTTAGTGCCTCTGTGTGGAATACTTTCCCCACATCTTGGCCTTATTGGCTTCTTGTTGTTCATCTCAGCTTAAGTATAACCTCCATTGAGAGGCCCTTCTCAACCGGTCGACCTAAAAAGTTGTCTTTTGTCACTCATCACCCCGGTTTTTTCACTACAGCATGTATCACTACTTGGTGTTCTACGTCAGTCCATACCCATTCAGAATGCAAGCTTTGAAAGAGCAGATACTTGGGTGGTGTTCACCACTGTTACCCCAGGACCTAAAACAGTGCCTGGTGCGTGAAAGTGTTAATCAGTGTTCGCTGATAAAGGCATGACCTCGTTTGTCAAAATGAAGCCAAACAGTTTCTATCCCAAGGGACATACTTATGGCCAATCCTCTTAGCTCAGCTTTCTCTTTATAAAAGGAATGGCAACATTGAAACAATTTTCAAGGTCATGCCTTTGTTACATTTAACAGGGCCTTGTCCCCTTTATACTAAATACTTGGAGCATTCATAAGTACATTCATCACACCGAAGCAGATGGTCTTCAGTACAGCTCTTTACAAGCAAGTTTCAACACATCATTCTACTATCTCTTTAATTATACTATTATCTCTTTAATTATACCTTTTTTTCACCATGCCTCGTTTTTAGGCACATCATTCAGTTTTTGAAGAAACATAAAAATGTTTTGGGCAGGGTCCTCCAATATATCAAGGCATAAGAAATGTCTTGAGGTTCTTTTCCTGGATCCCTGTAGATATAGCTCATACGGCTAGTGTTTGATAATTAAACTTTTTCCACGTATGTGTGTTCCAGAACAGCCAGATCAGTAGGTCCAGGCAAGTCTACAAAGAGAACAGGTGTTAACTGCAAAAACAATTCCATTTTTAAAACAACTTCCACGTTGTTCATGTTTATATCCTGGGGTAGCTGGCCCTCAAATGTTTCTTGAATGAATGAACAATTCAGTTTCTCAAATTAATTCTTGCCCTCAAACAGCTTAGCATGAAAAACAACCAAAGTGCCTGGAAATCAGTCCAAAGGCTTGGCCACAGGACCCTAACTTGGCCAAACTGGTTACTCAGAGTAAATACCAGAGTTTCTAGGACTGCTTCTAAAAGAGATTTGTCCTCCATGCTCATAGTTTAAAAGAAAGTACTAGAGAGAGGAGTGGCAGACCTAGATTAGGCTTGAACAAGGGGCTGTAATCTTGTTTCTGCCATCGCTTAACTCCATCCTGGCTTCCAGCTGCTGTACCAATTGTTTGTCCACGTGGCGGCAGAACAGGGGAAGAAGGTTGCTGGGGAAGGTTAGGGGTTCTGCCAGAGAGGCTGTAGGCATCTGGGCTATCTCCCAAGCAATCAAAACAACCATGTTTGTCCTGGAGAGCAGAGAAGAAATATTTCAGAAGTGAGTAATACACATTGTCCTTCCCTAAGTAGCCTTTGCAGTTATGCAGGAACTTGAGACTCAAGGCAAAGGTTCCTTATTATCTTTCCACTATCCTCCCACCCCGACGGCAATTAAGAGGTAAACATGTGCATGTTTGGTGTGTGCCAGGCAATGCTTACTGCTTTATACGTTTTCCTTATTTAATCTTAAATACCATCTAAAGTAAGAACTCTAAAGGGTTGGTGCAATCATCCCTAGTGTATAGACGAGGAAACAGGCTAAGAGAAGTGAAGAAACTTGCTCAAGATTACATTGCTAGGGACAGACCAGAATTCAAACCTAGGTCTGTTAGACTCTAAAGACAGTTCCCTTAATTGCTATGTTTTGCAACCTCCTCCTGAGAAACCAACACTCTAGGGCACTATAACCCAAACCCATTGCTGTCGAGTCAATTCCGACTCATAGTGACCCTATAGGACAGAGTAGAACTTCCCCATAGCGTTTCCAAGGAGCAGCTGGTGGATTCAAATTGCTGACCTTCGGTTGGCAGCTGAACACTTAACCATTGCACCACCAGGGCTCCCTAGAGCACTATAGAGGGTAAAACAGGGCACTATAAACTGTAAAACAACAAAAACAAAACAGCTACAGCTGGTGCTGTTTTTCCCTTCTCTGCCCAATCTCCTCCCCCATACTTGAATACACCACCCAGAAAATCCCTGGCTCAGCCTACACATCTCAGGGGTACTGAAATAATATTTACCAGGCCTTTATGATCTTACCAAGCTGTATGGTCACTGTTGGGTTTCTCTAGGGAAGAATCCAAAGATAGGAGCTGCTCCCCATGACTCAGCAGGGCATAGAGCAAAGATATTCCGAACTGCAAGTGACACATAGTCCAGGGTAAGAGGAACTCACCCTAGGCACTCAGTGCTTCCCTAGTTCTGCTGTCCTGAAAGAAGTGCGCGACCACAGATGTATGGAGGTGCCTGCTCTAGAGCCGTGCCCGTATGGAGGTGCCTGCTCTAGAGCCGTGCCCGTATGGAGGTGCCTGCTCTAGAGCCGTGCCCGTATGGAGGTGCCTGCTCTAGAGCTGTGCCCGTATGGAGGTGCCTGCTCTAGAGCCGTGCCCGTATGGAGGTGCCTGCTCTAGAGCCGTGCCCGTCAGAGTGTGGTCTACACACCAGTGTCATCAGCAGGGAGCTCGTTAGAAAAGAGACAAACCAAGCATGAGCACCACCTCAGACCTACTGAATGAGAATCTCTGGGGATGGGGGCCACAGAATCTGTGTTTAATAAGCTATCCAGGTGTCCCTGGTGCCTACAAGAAGTTGAGAAGCACTTCAGAGGATGAGACTTGCGGAGAGATGAGAACATTCCCTCAGTTATTACTTACCAGTGATACCACCTGGAAGCCATCTAGGAAAGGAGAAAAGCCTCAGGTGTTACCTGATTCTGAAGCACCACAGTGACCGGCTTCTCTGAGGCAGGTGGTAGCGTTAGTCCTTGAAGTCCTTGCAGGAGTTCATGGAAGGTCAAGTGACTGATGAATTTGCCCAGAGGTTTGAATAATATTTGTAAGGCCTGCAAGAAGGTCCAGTAAGCGCCTCTCAAATTCCACTACAATTTCACCCTATCCTACCTTGCCTCCAGATCCCTCCCTTCCCTTGTTGACCTGCCTTTGGTGTCTTCCTGGCCAGGTTACTTACCAGGCCCATCACCACTCATCTTTCTCCATCCCTAACACTGGGTCCATTCAACACCCACTTGTGAAGGATGCCTTCTCTAAGAAAAGATATGGGGCTCAACCCTTATCAGGGAGCCCTTGTCTTCTCAAACCTTCACAGCACACTCACTCCTGGGTAACCGTACACACCTGTCTGTTGTATTTTTTCAGGATTGATGAGCAAAAGAAATCAACTATTCTATAGTAGGTTGTTCTGCAACTCCCTGAGGGTGGCAAGGCTAGCAATGCCCCGTCACTGTCCGGCCCCCCCCGTCACTGTCCCGCCCCCCCCGTCACTGTCCGG